GCTCAGGCAATCCACTCACCTCAGCCTCCCAAAGCGCGGGATTACAGGCTGAGCCTCAGAGCCCGGCTAGGATCTATATTTTACATCTCCTCTGGAGCTATATGCTCTGAATCTGACTCAGCTCCTAACATGGAACCTTGCACATAGAACACATTCAATAGATGTTAGCTTAGAAGGTGAGCTGTCAGATTGTAAGCTTATGCTTATTCAATGAATGACATTTGTATTATCCAAAATATTTAAAATCTTCTATCTGAAAAGAATGATATTTATAACTAAAAGTATGTATTTTGTTAGACAGAATGCAAATATTTTAGTTTTTCATGAATACTTTCTTCCTTTTCATTGGACTTCATTCTCTGATTTTTATTTCAATGCTCATTCTAAGAAATCTTACCTAATATTCTACTTTTCAATTTACCCTTCTCTGTAAGGTTTTTGGAATGTGGCTGTACTTCTTCTTGCCTCTAATGTACCAGTAATTACTACTCAAAATAACCAGCTCTGGGGAATCTTGCCTCCATTAGGTATAGCCCTCCAGGAAGGGTTATAAGATAAATGATATCAGAACTTTAGAAGAAGCAATTAACATCACTGTATTTCTAAAAGGCAACTTTATTGTTCAATCAATCTGAAGGATCACTGAATTTAGTCAAATTTTTTAAAAATAAATATGTTTGCAGATATTTGTTTTTCTGCATTTTTCACTAGTTAAAGTTTCCTGAAAGATTCAGGATTGAGTAAAGTTGATTATCTTTTGATCTTTTGAATTATTGAGGTAAAAATGAAGGCATAAATGCGTCTAAGGACTCTTGCATCTCTAAGATTTTCTGACTCTTTAATACTCATATATTGGTTACATATACCAGCTACAGTACTATGTAGCCAATACTTCTTCAACTCTTAACCATCTTACTCCATTCAGTTTGGAAATTTTCTTCTCTACCTTAATCCAAGCAGACATTTTTCAGAAGTGTGACCTGCCCTTCTTTAAACACACTTGGCTGAATTTCAAAGGAAAAAGATACAAGAGTAAAATTAATACAAAAGAGATGACCTTTTCCATGTTTTGCTTAAGTTCTAGCAATTTGACTGGTTCTTACTTGTGAATTTTTCTTGCCACTGAGTCATTGCATACAGAATTATGAAACTTTAATTTTTTAGAGGCTCGTTATATTAGAAAAATTGTTCCAAAGAAAGCAACAATCATGACATAAGCACATCTGGCTCTTGCAAATTATTCTTTATTAAGCTTTCATTTAATTACATGTGCTGAAAGGTCTGTTTTTGATTACTGTAATTTTTTTTTATTTGTCCATCTGAATGATAGTAATGCTGGAAATTACATACAAACCACCTGTTTTTTCTCCACTACTAATATGGCAAAGTTTGAGCTATTTTTCTCTGTGGTTGATGAACCAGGAAGCTTTCTATTATGATAGAAATGTGACCATCAAGGTAATGACTTAATTTTGATAATAAGAAGAGAAGTTTTCAACCATTACATAGTGTTAAGATTGAAGTATCTGAGATTAACACATTCATTTATTGCCAGTTTTATCCAAATCATAATAAACTGACAAGGATTATAAGTAGAAACTTTCAAGTAGAATAGAAAGAGATGACAAAAGAATGTTTGGATATGATAAATGGACAGATGAGTTTTAACTGTCTTAGCAGAAAAGAGAAAGCTGATACTTAAGCTTTAAGAGTGTAAAGCCAAAAAGAATCAAGACCAGTTGGGAGTTGAACCTTTAAAATGCTTGGAAATTGAAGGTATCATGTATCGTTAAAGGCACACGGTTGTAAGATGTGGAATGAGACAGGATGACTGGTTGAAAATAGATATATGATGATCTTTCCCTAACCTCATGCAACCTGGTAGCTATCATTCCTGTCTCCTCCTTCCCAATTTCCAAGCCTAACAGAAGACAGTGGAGGCATTTATTCTCTTCAGAAGGTGAACTTGAGAGATTTTTGTCTTGAGGACATTAAGAATAGCTGAAAGTGAGCGGTAGTGCCATTTTGGAAGCAGGGAGTCTACAGGCTAGACCAGACAGTGAGATCCCTCAGATGCCTTCTCTTACTTGGCTCACTTAATGATGAAATACAAGTCTATGCCTCAACCAAGGCAAGAATTCTAAGATATTTCTCTAAGAAAATGGTCTGGTATGTTGAAAGATAAAGTTGAAAAAAAATCTGTCATAGAATATAATGAAAGGTCAAAGAATGGTGACCAGAAGACAAAAAGAAGGAAAATAGAAGGTTGATAAGGAAGTCCAATATTTATCCAATGTGAATTCAAGAAAGAGAACAGAGGGGAGAAAGTTATCCGTGGCAAACTTTAAAAAAAGTGTTCTAGAATTGAAGGATGAGTTTGGATTGAAAGGGCTGACTGAGTATCCAGAACAATGAACATAAAAGTCAATAGAGGAACATCAGAGTGAAATTTCAAAACACCTGGTAGAAAGGGAAGAGCCTAATGCTCTTAGAGGAGAAAATCAATTACATACTAAAGATCAGGAATCACAATAACATCAAACTTCCTTAGCAGCAAAAATAAGAAGACAACAGATCACTATCTTTGGAATTCTGAGGCAGAATTATTTTCAACTTAAAATTCCATATCTCTCAAACTACAATCAAGTGAGAAGGATATAGTAACATTTTCCAGAAATGTTAGTTCCTTAACTAATCTCACATGCACCTTTTCCAGGAAGCTCCTGTAGAATGTGCTCTACAAGAAAAGAGACAGTGAAAAGAGACAGGGAGGAAAACATGATATTCAGGAAACAAGGAATCCAGTAGAGGAGAGGCAAAAAGAGTTGCAAGTCCCACAGATCTGCAGTAGACCTAAGGAATAGACCAGTTCAGATTGGAGCAGGAAGATAGAGAATTCCAAAAAAGGATATATCCAAGGGAAAAAATAGAAGATGCAGATGACCTGATATATAGTCAACCACATTGGGCAAAGTTGTACTGGTCTTTTGGAGAGTCTGGGAATTAATTAATGAAGTTACATAAAAAATAAGAAAGCAAAATATGAGACAGATATTAAATCTAACAAAATTTAAAGTTCAGGAGGAGAAAATTAAATATAGTTCACTTTATACCTCAACTGTGAATAGTAGCTTCCTAGAATAAAGTATAATGTTCCACAGCCATTTTAGAATTTGTAATATTAACGTTAAGAAATCAAGGAGGGAAGCATGGGTGTGTATATAGGGTTGGTGGGTGCAGGACAGTTCAACTTTCATCTTCCATTATATGTAGATAAGGATATAACATAATAAGTACGTACAAGTAAGGCAATAAATACCGCTTCAACAATTAAATGAATGGAAGGGATAATCTCCTCAGGGTAGGAGTAAGATGAGGAGGACTGGGGTGGGGAAAGTCAAGGTCATCGCATATGGCTGTGGAGGCTGTGCACGGCAAGTGTTGGCCATGCAATTTTTGTTGCTGTTTTGCTTTTTGTTTGTTTTTAAGCCTTGACCTACTATTGAAATTGTAAAACTGCATATAGAAGTTACTTTGATAAAGAGTAAAATGATATAAGAAGAGGTTGACGGTTAGCCCACCTGTCTTTCAGTCTTTGACCCTAATTCAGATAAATCAATGAATTTGAAGTTGATAATTTCAAGATCCATAATGTCAGGTTGTCTGCTTATCATGTCTCTGAGAAGAGGAACCCATTTAAGCTGAGCAGATAGAATGAGTAAGATCATTGGTTTGCCAAAAAGAACTATAGGAAATAGTTCCGAAACGGCCGTGAAATAGCAGTGGAAGTCTAATAAGGATAAACCTGGAGACCCAGGCAAAGGCAGGACCTAAGGAGAGAAGCTAAATGATCTGTTCTGTAGCAGGAAAGAAGCAGTTTGTTACTTGGCTTAGGCAGAGAATCACATAGGCATCTCCTGTGCTGGAAAATAGAAGCTTGACTTAAAACAAAACAAAATGCTACCAATCTGGTTATATTCTCTTGAGGATTATGTTACATGCTGTCTAGAAATAAGACCCTGAGAAAAGAGTGACTGCCATTGGGCCTCAGGAGTCGTGGAGGTAGCACACATCATCTAGAAGGATCAGAATACCAGAGAAATTTGATCAGTACTGAATAAGAATGATGCATTTCTTCCAAGAATCCCTAGGAAAGTTCACATTAGTTTCTTAGTTCATGAATATTAAAATTACATGAGTGGACATACCAGACATTTAAAGAACTTTTTACAAAGATGTTAGGCACTAAAAAGCATCTTAGGAACTACTTAGCCAAATGTCTTTTTGTACAGTTGAGGAAACTGAGCTCTAGACAGATCAAGTCCTTTGTCCAGGGTTATAGAGTTATTGCTAGATTGACCAGGAACAGAATCACGATCCCATGTCAGTCCTCTTTCTTTCTGTTATATTATTTGCTTTCTCTTACTTTCCTTGTTAAAAAATAGTGAGAGAGAACTTGCAGGGTTGTCAGAGAAATAGTTATCTAACAATACACTAAGTTTTTTTTTGTTTGTTTGAAACTTCATTTCCACTGCATTTAAAGACATCAATGTTTGTCTTCCCTGTTTTGCAGCAGCTCTATGCCGCTCAGCTGGCCAGCATGCAGGTGTCACCTGGAGCAAAGATGCCATCAACTCCACAACCACCAAACACAGCAGGGACGGTCTCACCTACTGGGATAAAAAATGAAAAGAGAGGGACCAGCCCTGTAACTCAAGTTAAGGTACTCACTTTGCAGGATTGTGGGAACAGTTTGGAAAATAGCATCACAAGAAAGGTAGTGAGCCAGGCTGTGTTGGGAATAAACAGCAGGAAACATAGCAACAATAAAGAAACCCCAAAATGTCCCACTTTATGGTAAATTTCATGATTGAGCATTGAGAAACAGGTGTTTCCCTTTTGATAACAATAGTGCCGTATTGTGAGACCTTTACCTAAATCTGCAAACTCACTTCTCAAGAGTTTTTTTCCCTTTGGATTCTGGCTTTCATTTTTTAATGTTCTTTGGCATGAATGGCCATGATTTTATTGCCAGTTTTTGTCGTAGATTCGTGGCACTTCTCTCCATTTTCCTTAAACAGGTAGGGAGCCAACTTATAGTACCAGGAAAGGAGACTCTCAAAGGAGGATCTCGAAAACCTAGAGATTTTTTTTTAAAGGGTCAATAAAAGCATCTAATGCTGGATTTTTTATGGTCTATTGATGAAGGTCTTGCCTTCAAAACTAGCTTTAAATGTGGACTTTGAGGAATGAGTTGTCATTTTCTAATAATGGTTGTGATGCCATGTAGTAGTGATAGGATAAACAGATTTTCCCAAGTTATGGCTGCAACATTAATAGATGCCTTTCCCCACTAATGTTTAGTGTCTTGAAACTGGGCAGCCAGGTAGTACTTGGCGACAGAGGGAAATTGATGAGTCACTCCAATTTTGTGCTGCAGCTGGTACCTATAGGTAGTACTGGTTGGTTTTTATGATAGTGTTTGCTTTTTATATTGAATTACCAAATTTAAACAGTTAGAGGAACAATTGTTTTCTGCAGTTGACTTATCTACATGGAGGGGTACGCTAAGTACAAATGCTTCATTGTAATGTGATGAAAGTACTGCATTTGGAGAAATTTTGCAATTATTAAATCTTCACGTGGGAAACAGCTGAGACCAACAAAACTCAGCTTTGGATGCTCCACAGTCACTGAAATGGTTTTATTTTCCAAAATTTGTATATAGGAATTTTGAGATTGCAGAAAGCCTTTGAAAAAAAGGAATCCCAATTACCAAAGACAAAAAAGTGAATATTATTAAGAGACATAGTTCTACCTATGCTCCATGAAAAGGAATTAATGTAATGTCACCCATTCATTTAGATTTGCCAAAGAAATAGATTAACATTTATGTTTTGTTGTTTGAAATTTTGAGATATGACACTAGGCAGTTTACATTTCACAAGACAGAATTATTTATGGAAATAGACTATTTTGTGCTCCCACAGTTTGTGTCTGTGAGTAAGAACCAGACACTACAGCTCTAACCCAGGCACTTTGCTTAATCATAGTTGTTAGAGTGTGAGTGTATCAAACATCAGTGACTTGAACTATTGAGTACTAAGGATTTTAACATAAAAAAGTCATTTTATAAGTAAGTTGGCCAACTGGAACTGCACCAGACCATGTCGTCTTTTCTAGATGAGTAAAATATTCCTTGATTAAATTCAAGTTTATATCTGCTTTTACTGTTCCATCTTTGTGGGCCAGCTGAATTTTATTATTCACTTGACCACATGCAAATTCTTAGGGAGCTTTCTATGTAATTTGACTTGATCAAATTTTATGTTAATAATAAAGGAAACATTTATTTTACTTATTAGATTGTTTATTGTACATTCATTTAAAAATATATGAAGACCAAAACATAAAGCAAATATTTTAAATTAAAAATGTAACTCCCGTCTATGATTGAAAGGATTCTGAAAATAATCTTATAGTTTGCTAATTAAAAGAATTATGCCCACCAAAATCTCTCATGTTTCTCTCTATAGACATTGCTTTCCCTCTGTTTATAACATGACCACTTACCTCAGATTCAGACATGACATAGGGCAAAGTTTGCTAAAGGTAACAAAAACAAACATAGATGGTCTTATGTACACTTTTGCTTCCAGAATTTTTACCTATAACTATCAACATCAGAGGTCAGACTGTTTCTGTTTAAATACCAGTTTTACTATTTTCTAGCTGTATCACCTTGGTCAAGCTACTTCATTTCTTTCAGCTTTAGTTTTCTCCTCTGTAAACTGAGAGTTAATATTATCGTGGGTCTTAAATGAGATAATACACCATCTGGTATATAGTGAGTTTTCCATAAATATTAATAGTAGTGAAACTGCTGCTGCTCATTATGATAATAAAGAAGATGGGATGGAGTGGTGATTTTAGTAGTTGTGATTGAATTATCTAGTTGTATACCAAGAGAGATCCTAACAAAACACCTGGAGGATTTCCGTTATCAACTTTGAGGGAGGAACAAGACTCAGATATACTCTCCCAGCTTAAAGAACTAAAACTCTATAAGCACTCTATAAAACTCTATAAGCAACTAAAACTATATAAAACAATGGTTTTCAGGCATGTACACAGTGGGAGTATATAGTATAGAGTATATAGTGATCCCCATGAGAAGAGAAACAAGTGAGGCAAGCACTACTGATGCTTCAGCTTACTGTCTACAAGGAGTTCCCATGCAACTGTGCAGGAAACTTGACCGGCTCCCTGAGACACAGTCCAGAGTTTAGGGTTGCTGATGCAGATAGGACTTGTGAGGCAGGGCGCCAGAGAGGAGTGAACTACACAGAGAAAGAATGCTGAAGATCTGCAGAGAGTTCCCCTGAGTATTTAGCTGAGTACTGATCAGCACGTGTATGTAAGCAAACTACTTGAGGTCAAGGAAAAAGCCCAGAATGTAGCAAGCAAAATAATTGCTAGGTTCACAAAGGACCAGAATGGTTTGTATACCTCTTAGCTAGAGTAGAAAAATCTCATGGCACGTAGGGCATCAAGGAGAGTCTCCAGAAGGGTATTACCTCAGTGATATGGCCAAATTATCCCCAGGTTAGTGACTGTTCTGAACCTGCCTAACAAAGTTTAAAGTTAGCCTGGAAAGGATCAAAGTGTTCTGCGTCTCAGAACAAAGTTCATGAATATTTTTAAAAATGCATAAACTCTAGCACCCAATAATGTAAAAGTAACAATGTGAAGCATCTATAAATAATTACCAGATTTTCAAAGCTGCAAGAAGATATGAATAATGAGAAAAATCAATCAATAGAAACAGACCCCAAAAAGGCACAGTTGATAAAATTAATTAGATAGGACAGTAAAAACAGGTATTATAGGAGATTTCCAACTAGAGCTGGATGAGGTAAGCAAATCTGCTTCCTAAAAAGCACCTATAAAGCAGGACAAAATTGACAAAAACAACCATTTCAGCATTCTGGAAATTGATCAAAATCATATGCAACCTGAGAAAACATTTATGCTTCTCATATGAAATAATAGTGGGAGTCTGTGGCATTCTTGCCTAGGCTCGGTTGACATGAAGTTTTTGTCAGGCCACTGGAACAGGCTGTGAGAACCAACAGTAGCTCTGACACAGTGGAAAGGAGCTCACTCAATTGGGAGTTAGTAGGTGATGCCATTCCAATGGCAGTGTTGGTGGAAGTGGCAATTATTGAATTATAAAAATAAGTAAAAAAAAAAAAGCATATTTAAAACTGAAAAAGATGTTATTAACTCCACATAGATAGATATCTTCTTGTTCCTCCCTCAAGAAGATAGAGGAAAATATAAGCATGATAAGGCAAGACATGGAAAACCTCAATCAAATGTCTGAAGGTTAAAAAAACACAGTGTTTGAGATGAAAAATATACTGGATGGGTTTAGCAACAGCTTAGACATTGCAGAACAAAAGATTAGTGAATTTGAAGGTACAACAATAAAACTCTCCAAAATGAAACACATAGAAAAAAGACTAGTCAGTATTGTAGGACAATATCAAATGGACTAATATATACAATTCTCCTCAGAAGGAGAAGGAAGGAACAGAAAATTATATTTGAAGACGTCATGGGTAAAAACTTTACACATTTGATGAAAACTCTAAACTTAGATATTTTGGAAGCTCAGCAAACCCTAGAAAAAGAAACATGGAGAAAACTGAGTAAATACCTAGTATATAAATCCTTATCATTTAGATATGAATAAGGGAACTAGCTATTCTAAACATTCTTTGAATTAAGAGCAAAGGGAAATAAATTGCAATTAAGTAGGTCATATAATTTTGACATTCATAACAGATATAATCATGTTTCTTGAGAACCTGTTCTATATCTAAATATAGATAAAAGTCATTGCAACTTAGATGTGACAGATTGCCTATTTCCTACCAAGACAACAAAACTCTAGGGCATCACTACATTATCCAACTAATGACTCATTTTCTTTGGTAGTTTATTCTTAAAAGGGCCTAAGATGTGAAGTCCAATATAGTCTGTCCTTTTATGTATGGCCTTGGACAAGTAATTTTTGTTATTCTGACCTCCAGCTCCTCATTTGTAAATTTGGAATAATACTTCCAGTCTCAGAGTTACTGATTATTAAAGCTATATGAAAATGCTTCGTATAGTACTTGGTACATAATTGCTTCTCTGTGCATGTTATTTTTACTTTTTGTTTTTATCCTCCTTCCCAAGTATTTCTTGGCATCTCTTGTAGTACTGGAAGAGACTTTAGCAATCATCTAGTATCAGGTCCTCTTTTCACAGATGAAGAAATTGAGCCCCAGTGAGATCACATGTTTACCAAGGGAGAGAACATTCTGTTACCAAAATCTATTGTATGTTTTAAACAATGACATTAAAAGCAAGTTATTTGTGCCTTCTCAGAAGCAAAATGGGAGGTAACATTTACTGACAATTTTATTTTAAAACACAATAATGCAGATTTTAAAACAACATTTAAATAAATATGCTCATATTACAACTAAATTTCTAGAATGATGAAAGTGTAGTTTTGGGTATTTTATGGCAGGATAAATGAGACAAAATAAAGGAGGGAGCTCAGCTTTCAAGTTCCTGAATAAACTAGAGTTATGAGCCAGATATTTGAATACTGTGCTCATTGTAGAAGAACATGTGTCTTAAAATAGACATTCTGTAAATATACATAGCAAAGAATATAAAGACACATCACTTTAAACATGAAAAATAAATTACATATAGCATGGTATGTAAAACATAATTATAATGTATGTTTGCTCTTTGCAAAAATTAATTTTAAACATGAATAGAGACCAGAGTACAGACCATAAAGAGTGCCCACACCCAGAAAGCCACATAGAAGCTGTGCTGTGGCATGTGGCTCCCTGGACAGGGGGCCTAGGATATTAGAAGAAGACTTTCCATGTTTCCATTTTTAAAGTACTTACAATTGCTTGATTTAAAATATATATTAAAAAATTAGCTGCAGAGACTGTTTATAGTTATAGGAACTTTTCATAGATAATAACACAAAAGCACCACAGAGCTGCTGAAATTTTAAATAATTCTTTGTAAATGCCCTAGGTTAATTTAGATCCCTGAAAACACATTAGGAAATTAAGCTGTAATGTGAGCTAATTCAGATTTTAATTTGGCAAAAAGAATGATCCAACTACACAGTTAATGTAAATAGAAGCATAACACAGGGAAATTAATGAGGTTTCCTTCCGATGAATCTTCAAGGAGGTAGATAATTAGCTTCTTTTGTTATTATTGTAGGAGAATGTGGCATTGTCTCTGAGGTGTAAAATAACTGTAGCTTACTAAGTGATAATGTGCTTCATTTGTCTTTTTTTTTAATAATTATTTATGTTAAACTCTTGTAGGATGAAGCTGCAGCACAGCCTCTGAATCTCTCATCCCGACCCAAGACAGTAGAGCCTGTAAAGTCCCCAACGTCCCCCACCCATAGCCTCTTCCCGGCCAGCAAAACCAGCCCCGTCAATCTGCCAAACAAAAGCAGCATCCCTAGCCCCATTGGAGGAAGCCTGGGAAGAGGATCCTCTTTAGGTAAATGGAAAAATCAACACCAGGAAGAGACTTATGAATTAGGTAAAAGAAAGCAAACCTGTTTGGTGATGACTGATACTTTTTTCTAAAGTGTTCCTTAGCAAAAGATAGTAAATACTCTTATACTGAATACTGAAACATAACCCAATTTAGTACCCTGGGTGATGAAAACTTTTGGAAAAGGTCTTAATATAAATCCTGCTGGGATGGGTTCTGTAGATGATAATGAGTTAGATCCAGCAAATCATAGACTTAGGAATTTCTGTATTTGGTCAGGGCTTTGCCCTGAAGTACATTCTCAAGGACATAAGGACCTAGGCTCAAAGCTGCCTTTCAAAAGACTAAAATTTCTTTGAACTTTTGTATCTTCTTCTAAAAATATATGTGAATTTTACATCTTATCCCATATTACTTTTACACTAAAACATATAAGACACACTCAAATAACCTTTCAAATAAAGTTCATATCTACAAAGATATGTCATCTTATGCTTCCCCATATATTGTCAGTGTTTCTAGGAACACTCACACCCTCACATGAAAAGTATTGAGGAAGAAACGTGAATTTTGGCATGAGACAGGTTTGGACTGAGAGCCTTCACTTACTACATGTATGACTTTGGGAAAGTTATTTAATAATTTTGAAATCAGTTTCTTAATTTCAGAGGGTTATAGTGTTACTAGCTCATAGATTATTATGAGTATTAAAAGAGAAAAATGTCTATTAAGTGGCTAACACCTAGAAGGCACTCAATTTTAAAACAGTGAAATAAATGCATATCAATACATTAACATATATATGTGTTGAATGGAACAATGAATGTGAAAGCACTTGTAAGCAAGAGAGTGCCAAATAAGTATTAATGTTATTGTTACTATACACTTTAAGTCTCTTAGTTTCCAAATGAGAATACAGAGATTCAAAGAGGTTAGAGACAAGACCTAGCATTTCTTCATCATATTACCTTTATTGAGTCCTGGAGCCTGAAATGCTTATTACACTCAATAAAATAAAGTATAAGTGTAGTCATTTACAGTTTAAAAACCATTCTTGACTATTTTATCTCACTGGGTTTTTCATAGTAATGAGTTAGCTAGTGCATTAGTATTACCCTCATTGTAAAAAGTACTCTATGGTTCTTACAGGCAGAATGACTCCTGTAGCTATGCATTAACAGAACCTGTTTAAGGGAGTTTTCTGTTAGTAAGATACAAACCGTCCTCATTGAAAGTTAGGATATTAGGATCTCTATAGAAGCCTATTCTCGTTTTGAATCAAGATACCATTTTCAGGGGTCTGGAAGTTTTCACTCCAAGGCAGTGGCATCCACATAGAAGACAAAAGTAAATAAGTCATTTCCAGCATGTGAACATGAAAAACACTCCTTTGGCTGGATTTTTGGAAGTTGTGAGATGACAAAAAAAAAAGCCAGCATAGACATATTATAGAGTTGATCTTGACATGACCCTCTATAAGCTACTTTTGCATTTTGTTAGAAAAGCATTCGTTTGCTGTACTTACATCATGAGGGCAAAGATGACCATGTCACAGGCTCTGTTCTTATGGAACTTTTACTTCAGCCAAGCATATTTCTTAGATAATGAGCCAGAAATGGGCTGCGGTAATAGTGCCTGTTTGAACAGCCTCTTATCCAGAGAATATTGGATACAAATAGTCTTTTTATCAGAAAAGCTCCAGAACAAGAGTTGTGAGTTTTCTATATCCTAAAAAGTGACTGACAAAAAAGAATTTCTATAGATATTCCTGGGAATTTTTTCCAAACTCAAATCCATATGCACACAGAAGATCTATGGTGTGAGCTTGACAGTAGTCTGGTTTCCTCTATCCTGTCAACATGAAGTGTACATACACACACCCACACCCACATGCATGTGCTATGAAGAGATACCAGGTCTCAAGCAAGTGAATCACATCAAAATTTACCACAGCAACTGAAACCTATCAATTATCAAACAATTGTCCTCTTTTTGTCTAAAACTGGAAAAACTTAAGCCATTCATTTGCCTGCAGTAAAATGCAAGATATGGTAGAAAATTAGTTTAATTTAGAATTTTTCTCTTCTGTGATGCATGGAATATAATGGAAGTAAATATTTATTCTCACTGTATTTGAAGCTTTGTACTTATGTGAAAGCTATTTCCACACATACAGCCTCACTGTCATGAAGATAGAGAGCTGAGAGCAGTGGGTGTTCGCTTTGGGGGTGGGGAATGGGTTGTCATTCTCTTGGTAAATAACTGAGGCAGCATGATGAGAAGAATGCTTCATTAACCAGCCAGCAATTGGGGGAATGGAGAGCATGGTGTATTCCTTCCGCCCCCTCTCTCCTGCAGTGGACACATGAACACACAGACACAGATGTCACTAAAGTCTTCATGTAGTCTCACAGATTTTTTTCTGCTAGGCCAGAAACAGCTTTCCTGCATTAGCACATCAAGTATAATGGGCAGCCTGGAGAAGCATCTCTGCATACTCCCTATCCTCGGCCCTTCTTCCCCATAGATCTTCCACTATTGTACGCTAATTGTACATATTGTCAGAACAGATATCTTACCCCAGGTTATATACAGTTAGAATCTAGGAATCTTCATCTGTGAGATGGTGGATAGCCAGAACTCAGGTAGACTGGAGTGCTGTGTTTCCTCCAAGTGCCAAAAAATCCAGCATAGCCTGGTTGCCCTGGCTTTCTGTGCTTTATGCATAGTACTGCATAGTTGTTTATAGAGCAAATGTGCCCCTTCCTTGTTCAGAGATTGCAGTTTTCTACAGGGGAGTGGATAGCAGCAGTATTTGTTAAGAGTCTACCTCATAAGCCTCTAATACAGCATCCTGTGTATGCAGATATCCTCTCCAGTCTCAACTCCCCTGCCCTGTTTGGGGATCAGGATACAGTGATGAAAGCCATCCAGGAGGCTCGGAAGATGCGAGAACAGATCCAGCGGGAGCAACAGCAGCAACAGCCACATGGTGTTGATGGGAAACTGTCCTCCATAAATAATATGGGGCTGAACAACTGCAGGAATGAAAAGGTAAAACTCGATTTTCTCCATCACTGGATCTGCTAGACCCATTGGCTCACCCTCATCTGGCTTTTTCCAGGCTCTCAAGTACCAACCTGCAGCTGTAGATGTGGGCTTCCAACCTGATGGCTGTCTTGTGTTTCATTAAAATCGGCCATGTGTCTCACTGAAACATGACTGCTAATTAACAAAAAATACACTCTTTCCCACTTAGTGTGGGTTGCCTCCTAGGCACCCAACCTACCTGCCTGCTGATGTGTCCTACTGTTACGTTCCAAAATATTTAGATGTATCTTACAATAAAGGGGATATATGATACTATCAGAATAAAAAAAGAGTATCAGCATATTTTTTTCTTTTGAGTCAGAGTCTCACTCTGTCACCCAGGCTGGAGTGCAGTGGCACGCTCATGGCCACCCCAGCGTCCACCTGCTGGGTTCAGGCGATCCTTCCGCCTCAGCCTTCCAAGAGCATATTTTAAAAGGAAGACACATATGTGCTCACAATGAAGGCTAATGTTTTACTGTGACTTACCATTAAATGTAATACTAAGCTTCCTACCAACCAGAAAAAAAAGCAAAGCAATTTGCAAAATGTACTCATTTATTTTTTGATTCAGCAAATTATTTATTGAGTATGTTTTTATGAGGGACTCTGTTCTTGGCACTAGAAACATAGCAGTGACCAAATCTGACATAAATCCCTGCTCTCATAGAGCTTGCATTCTAATAGGGAGACACAGACAATGAAGAAATAAACAATTATTTCTAATTCTAATTAATTTTAATAATTCTATTATTAATTCTAGTATTAATTCTAATAATGCTAGAAGGTGAACAAATGCCAAAAGAAAAAAATAGAAGCCCGTTAAGGGGCTAGGGGTTTGGGAGTTGTTACATTAGATGGGGTGGAGAGGACTCTGAGTGACATCCAGTAGAGGTCTGAGTGAAGCAGTAGGCCATGTGAGAGGCGGGTGGGAGCAGGAGCGCTCCTGATAGCGGGAACTATGAGCAGAAAGGCCCTTCCAGAGTTGGACCAGCACCAGGGAGACAGTGTGGCAAGAGTGGCCTGAGGGAAAGACCAGCAGGGGGACCCGAAGTAAAAATGATAGGCTGGGGAGGAGCCTGTTAGACCCGGTAGGCCCTGGAAAGGCTTTTCATTTTCTTCTGCATGATGGGAATCCCTAGACCGGTTTTATTCAGAGTGTTGACATGGTCTGATTTTCATACAAAAGAATCATTTTTTCTTCTGTGGAGGAATGGACTATAGGATGGAAGAATGGAAACAGAGAGACCAGTGAAGAGGCCATTGTAGTAGGCTGGGTGAAAAATGCTGAGTATCCGATAGAATGAACTATGGCTTTTTTTTTTTTTTTAAGAGATGAAAATACTTTCCCAGCACTAAATTGTGAGAGCTTTTTTATTTTTCTTTTTAAAAATGGGAACTATATAGGTACAAATGAGTGATGTGATGGGCAATGTTTTTGGTAACAATTTTAGAGTAATTAAAAAAATATTCTATTCATATGTTTATTCAGTAAGGACTCACAATATAACATATTGAAGTCAGGACCAAGGGCCTCCTACTGGTTTCAGTCCTTGCTAAGTGTAGCATGGGTGCTGTGGTAAAGATTCCATCCATCAGAATATGATTTGTAGATTCCTCAGTTCCTAGGAGGATTTTTAAATTAGCATGTGGAAGAAGTCATGAGAGAAGTATGTAGTCAGTCATGCGTGTGCTCACCCAAGCATTTAAATACATAGCCATGACCAGGGTGTTTATTTGTTTTCCTGTGTTTCCTTTTCTGAAGTTATGGTGGTATGAGACTGAGAATGTGAGTATATTTGTTTCCTAGTGGGTTGCTTGAAACAACAGAAATGTATTCTTTCCCAATTCTGGAGGCCAGTCCCAAATCCAGGTGGCAGCGATGCCATGCTTCCTTCCTCTGAAGGCTTCAGGGAAGACTCTTCCCTTGCCTCTTTCTAGTTTCTGATGGTGGCTGGAAGCCCTTGCCATTCCTTGACTTATGGGGGCACTACTCTAATAGCTGCCCTCCATCTTCCATGGTTGTCTTCCCTCTGAGTGTGTCTAAGTGTTTCCAAATCTCTCCTTCTAAGGACATCAGCCAGTGGATTTAGGGTCCACTGCAATCCAGTGTGATCTTATTTTAACTTAGTAACATCTGCAAAGACTGTGTTTCTAAATAAGTTTACACCACAGGTACCAAAGATTAAGACTTGGACATATTTTAGGGGGTGTACAATTCAACCCATTAGAGTGGGACACAGAGCCATCCCTCATGCTGAATCAACCTTTCACCCTTGTTTGTTGTACTAAACTCTTTGGCTATGCTAGGAGACAGCTGGGGTACACGGGAATGGGAAGGAGTTTATGAAGATGGGCTTATGATGGGACTTTCAAAGCATGTGTGTGATCAAAGCCCTCATGCAGATTAGGAAGTTTAGCTCTAAAAGAGTGCTAACTTCCCAAAGTTTGGTAAAGAATTTGTACCTTCATTTCTCACTGCATTGAGTTACTGATGTTAATTAACATCGTGTGTGTGTGTGTGTGTGTGTGTGTGTGTATGTGTATGTGTGTGTGTATAAAATGATGGTGGGTCTTCTGGTGCCTGCTAGGCCATAAACTTCTGTATACTTGGGATTAGTCATGTGCGTGCCCGTCACTGGTTCTGTTCAACAATGAAATGCCCCATTCCCCACTAAGTGTCCCATCCCAGTTTGGACCCTTAGCTTAGGAGGCAGAACTCCTCTTTACAAGCTACCTGAAGAAATGGTTATGTATACAGTGTAGTTTCAGACTAGCAAGAGAAGAAAAGCCTTGCCCCAAACCTTTTCTGCCACAAAAGATTGACAACACAGGGTCAGTCTTTTGACCTAAGACACGGTCTTCTGCTTAGTGAAAACGCCAGGAAATAATAATTTAATCTTAATGTGAATAACTTCATAAGATCCTTTTGTGTGATGTGGGTAAGCTCGCAAGTTTTGGCAGTGGCAAATTGGGTTAAAAACAAGAGCACAGGTACCTACAGAGCCATCGCCCACTTTACAATTTTGCAAAGGGCTAATTTTAAAATTAGTTTGAGAAGCACATCAGTGACTTTTAAAATTCAGTCTTTTAAATTATTTTTATTTATTAGTTATCAAATGAAAGTAATATATGGTTACTAGAAAATCCTAATAAGACAGAAAGCTATACAGTGAAAAAGCTAATCACCCTCATCACCCCATTAACTAGCATTAATTATCCAGAAATTTTCTTTGAGTAGTAACAATCATTAGTGATTCAGAAATTTTCTTTGCTTAAATGAAAAAATGTTAATGAGTTTAAAAATACATATTCTCACTTGGAACAGTAGTCACTGAGTTGTCTCTTACCTGCTGTATGATCTTTGGCAAGTTGATTAACTTCTCTGAACCTCAGTTTCTTCATCTATAAAATGAAAGTACCGATTTAGGTTATAATGAAATAAGACACATGTGAATGCACCTAGCACAGGTCCTGGTATAGTGAAGATATTTCTTTATCATATGTTTCCCTTTAAATCATGAATGGCCCTTGAATACATAGAACAAATATACTGGTTTTGGTTTTATTTCTGGTTTTCTATAAAGGTTTTATTAGGCAAAGAGGGATGAGGGGGTTCCGTCCTTCTTGGCAGCCTGTTTCCTCATGGTGGCCAGGACGTTGCTCAGCTCCTCTCACTTCTTATTGACATGGATGTGTGTCCCTGCCCCTTTCTTGATGAACTAGAGGGCCTGCTTGTCTTTGGAGAAATTCAGTAGCTTCGCGGTGCATGGCTTGTGTGGGGCCAACCCCTGCACCTTTCAGATCATGTCCCACATGGACCTGAAGTGCTTGGTGAGGCAGTGACAGCAGCGGCGGTGGCATTCGTGCCCTGGGTTGCCCACATTCTTGCTCACCTTGTGGCCCTTGTTGAGGCTCACAACCATGGGTCAGCACAGAGCCATGGCTGCTGCCTTTCAAGGGTTGCGGTGGCAGAAAGGCACAACTATTACTATTTTGTCACAGATATGAGATCCTCACACAGTAATGGGAGGGTCAGCAGAAAGAGTAGAGTTCTCAAATGTTTCCATATTGGCCAATTCTCATAGTTGAACTTTTTTTTCAATTGGGTTAATACACAAAGCATTGGAACTCCCGGAACTTATAAGCATCCTACAAGGTGTAGTTGGCTTATTAGGTTAAGTCAGAATTTCCCAACCTTGACACTATTGACATTTTTGGCTGGATAATTATTTGTCGAGGGAGGAGGATCTGGCCTCTACTTACTAGATGTATTTCCCCCCTGCGGCTTTTGTGACAATCAAATTTGTCTCCAGATCTTGGCAAATGCCCCTTAGGGAAAGAAGAACATAATTAACCCTAGTTGAGACCCACTGGGGTAGATCATACCTTGCTTCCAAAGTGAGTCTCTCTGACACTGTAACCCTATGTCTTAGCTTGATCTGCAATAACAAATAGCATAAACTGAGTGGCTTAAACCACAAAAGTTTATTCTCTCAGTTCTGGAGGCTGGAAGTCCAAGATCAGAGTGCCTGCATGATTAGGTTCTGGCAATGGCCTTCTTCTTGGCTGGTAGATAGACATCTTCTTGCTGTACACGCACATGAAAAAGAGAGCTCTGGTGTCTTCATCTTCTTTTAAGGGCACAAATTTCATGGGGAATTACCTCATTACCTCCGCAAGGCCCACCTCCAATTACTGTCCTATTGTGGATTAGGGGATTAAGGATTCAACATACAGATTTTGAGGGAGCACAAACATTTTGTCCATAGCATCCTATATTGTTGAATTTATATCATTAGTTGAAGCTCAAACTTAGTCACTGTTAATTCCAAATTCTACAGATTAATTTGAAATATTTCTCACTGACTTTTCTGAATTCATTTGGGAGGAAGAAGTCTGCAGTTTAAAAGAATAAAACTGTATTTTGCTTGGGAAGACATGGGAGAAAGACGAGTGATGAG